TACCAATAACAGAGGTCCTAGCTGTTATTTTCTGCAAAGAAAATTTCAAACCTGAGAGGGTGTTGCCCTTGCACCCTCTCTGTGGGTCTCTATCTCTTACTTTTATAGTGAGAAAAAAGATCCTAATAAACAGAAGCGGAGTGCTCTAGAAACAGAGATGCCACAAGTTTCTAATCCATGATTCTGAGAATTCTAGCTACCAAAATGTTTCTCGTTCCAAGATGTTGTTGCTTTCCTTTAATATGAATCAAGGGTTTATCTGCTTTAACTGTGTGTGAAAATAATTTTGTATGGATTATGTGGCCTATGAATACTGTAAATTTTGCGTCTTGAATTTATATTTTAAATAAATCTAATGGCAACATTGTTTTTGAGCCAAAATTTGAAAATAACTCATATTTTGTTTTTGATATAACATCAGACCAACAATAATACAGAATAACATTGTACATTTGTATTATTAATATAATACTATATGTTTTTTACTGTAGATAATTATGAATCATGTAATATAAGTATAATACTAGTGGTTTTCTATATTTCACTTTTTATACTAATTTTAAATGGAATTAGACAAGAAAACCACAACTAATGATAATAAACGAGTAAAGAAAAATTACAGTTTCACTCCCTATTACAATTTAAACTGTGATCTCTTATAACAGTTTAATCCTTGAAGAGTTTTCTTTTTTCACTTTCCCTAAAATTATTAATCTTCTATATGTTATCTTATAAGTTTTCCCCTACTTTCGTTTCTTATTAATTTTGAATTTTTAAGTATACAAGTTTAAAAACCAAAGACTTGGAGATACTTCTTTAAAAAACTAAGGGTTTTATGGAAAATAATAATAAAACTAAACCACAAAAAAGTTACTGAATTTGAATTGCCATAAAGTCATAACAAAGATAGCAAAACTGATTGAGATATTAATCAGTCTAATAATCAACCCAAAAAAATATTGACTCCCTTTTGCAAGGTTTATTTTTTACTAAGAAACGTCAATATACATTGTATTATATTTTTTTATTATAGGTTTTTACACCACCAATATTTTACCTTTGATTTACATTAGTTTTGCTATAAATGTTTATAAGTCTAAATACAGTGTTGGTTTCTGTACTTTTTTTAATTAAAAAAATTAAAAATTTAACTATTTTTACACATTAAATATTACGTAATATCTAATATAAGCACCCAATTAAATAACACATGTCAAGTCTGGTGATATATGATAAATATATTAACAGTATTAAAATAAACTAACAGTGAAGAATTAATATGCACACTTTTAAAAGTACAAAAACTAAAAGAAGAAAAGAATTATATAAAGGCCAAATTGAATAAAATAAAATAATATAGAGACTAGAAAAGTATTTAGGCCATAATTTATTTAACATAAGCAATTTGAATAAATTTATCTTTTGACTTTACAGATAATGTAAAATATGCAACATTGTTTGTTTTTAAGATAAAAAAAAAATTATGATAAAATATTTTTTTTACAATAAAATATCAACCCTAATAGTTAATCTTATCTATTGGACTAACTCATCAGTTTAAGTACTAAAAGCTCCTATTTTTTTACAGTAAAATATATTTGTTTCTACAATAAAATATTAGTCCTAATTAGTAATCTTATTCATTGCACTAACTTTAACTCATTAGTTTATAAGGCTTATTAAGTACTAAACACTTATTTTTTTGTACAATAAAATATGCAACATTATTTGTTTGTAACTATTTTTATATATTATACTAAAAAACTAAAAATTTCAATCTCTTTAATTCTCCATTCCCGTCTCAAAAAGAACAATTCTCTCTTGTAATTCAATCTTCATGGCTATTGATAAAAGATTGCGGGACCCATAAGGTTAAAAATAGTGCATAAATAAGTACTAAACACTCATCACCTCATTCTGTGATCCCAGTCTGCTTTCGTAATCCTGTGAACTATATTTAAAAGCTATCTCCATACTCTCGATCCATATATACTCCCACCATCGCTCTCTCTTTAGATATCCCCCCAGGTTCATGACTGATATCTGAATTCACTTGCAAAAAAAAAGCAAGTTCTGATGTCGGTTTAGTGTTTTGTCCTTCTTCCTCTCTCTTTCCCAAACAATAAAATACAACTGATACTTGTATTGTTCTTGTATAGTACGCAGGCAGAAGCAAAAATGACCATGAAAAGAGCTCTTCTGCTACTAAATTGCATGTTTCTCGCCATAGGCAACTGTGGAGTCCCTTTATTAATGCGGCTCTACTTCATTCATGGTGGAAAGAGTGTGGTTTTCCAGCTGGGACCAAACAGCCGGCTGGCCTGTCATGATTATCCCCATAACCATTGCTTACTTCCACCATAAAAACACAAATCAACTCAGATCATACTCAGAACATGAAGCAGCAAATTCCTTTTTCATGAAACCTTGTGTCTATGTCCCAGCCGCCATATTGGGAATCATCTTAGGTCTCAATGGCTATATTTACGCCTACAGCGTGGCGTGTCTTCCTGTCTCCACCGCATCTCTGATCCTTGCTACCCAACTGGCTTTCACTGCATTGTTCGCTTTGCTGTTGGTCAAGCAGAAATTCACTCCTTATTCCATAAACTCCGTGGTGGTGCTAACCATTGGGGCCTCAGTTTTAGCCTTGCACACCAGCAGTGACAAACCCAATAATGAATCTACAGGATGGTATGTCTTGGGATTTATAATGACACTCGGGACGGGGCTTCGGTTTTGTCTGCGTTTGTCTTGCCGGCGGTGGAGCTAGTTTTCATGAAGGCTCATCAGCAACTTACTTATCCACTTATGTTGCAGATGTTGATGGTTATGAGTGTGTTTGCTACTGCTTTTAGCACCATTGGGATGCTGGTTAACAATAACTTCAAGGTTAATGCCTCTATTTCCCTTTACTGTAAAAATTCATACCCTTTAACAAACTAAATTTTAAATTTATTTTAGTATTATTTTTAATTATATATAGAACTAAATTCTAAATTTATTTTAGCACTAGTGTTAATTTTCAAATTGGTCATTGAAGTAGTTTTTTGCTCTTTTAAGCTGTTTATTAAATATATATATTACTTTATATCTGTTAAATATCATTAATACTATTACTTGATTTACTGCAGGTCATTTCAAGAGAAGCAAGAGAATATGAATTGGGAGAAGCTAAGTACTATATGGTGATGATAGGGAGTGCACTGACATGGCAGTGCTACATGACAGGGGCAATAGGAGTTGTGTTTTGCCACTCATCATTGTTGTCTTGTATTATATCAACAGTTCTATTACCGGTCACAGAGATCCTCGGTGTTATTTTCTTCCATGAAAAAGTTCCAAGTTGAGAAGGCTGTGGCTCTTGTCCTCTCTTTTTTGGGGTTTTTATCTCTTTCACCGGCGACATCAAACACAGTAAAAAGCAACACCAAAAACTACCGCAACACACTGCTACTCCTAAAGTAGATCTTACTAGTTAATTCAAGATAGTAAAAAATAATTGTAACAAGTTACTTTTATATATCAGGGAATTCACTGTTCTATCTTATAATGTTAATCAGTTAATATTTCAATTTCAGCTATCCAAGTTCTCGTTTATGTTAAAAATTAAATTCGGATTCTTATTCATCTCGAGACTAATATCTATTGCATAGTTCTAAAAAAATTATATTTCACTAACTGTAATTCTACCATCACAAGATTAGAATACTTGAATTAATTTTTTCCAAGTACGTCTTGGATTATCTCGTCTTTTTCTCCATTTTCATTTGTAAATTCTACCCATATATAAACATTGAAAAAAAAATCCCTAAAGCCCAATTCTTTTCAACATTGTCATATTTCCATGTGTAAGCCAATCAGTTAACTAACTAAGACCAATTAATGGCATTTCAGATCCACGTGGAAGGCTACCTACAATAGCTTCAAGCGAACATACATAGGCAGAGGATTGTGACCAGCTAACATGTGCAAGGAAAATGAATATTGCAGAACCTACACTAAGCACCACCATTTTTTTTTAAATAAACAAAGTTATATTATAAGATTGGTACCACCCAAATACAAACATTTACATCTCAATCAAATGATTTAACACCATTCCAAATTCGTGTATATCAGAAATATCATGACCCAACAATAAAAAACCAGAAGTGTGTAACCATCTATCAATGATACAATTGAAATCTTTTTCAATTCCTTCGAAAGCTCTAGAGTTTCTTTCTTTCCATACTACCCATAGGACCAATATAAGGAATAAGCATTAAATTGTTTCTCTTTTTGCATAAACCCGTCCATGCCCAAATTTCAGCTTTCATGGAGCCTACTATTGCCCATTTAATTACCAAGAGTCCACAATTTGTAAGTCAGCAAACACCCTAGCAACAAATGATTACATGATTTCTCATTAGCTTTGCACATGAAACAGTGGTTAACCATGCATCTGCCCCTAGTCATCAACATATCAATAGTGAGCATACATTCTCTGCAAGCTTCCCATGCGAAAAAAACCATTCCTGGTGATATTCTTGTCTTCCATTTTATAGAGTCCTCTTGTTGTTCCATTTTTGCTTGAGAGACCATAATGATTAATTGTTGAAACTCATCAATCTCCCAATCATTCAAATTTCTTTTCACTTGCACATCCCAGAATTTGTATTCCCCCACTCCAAAATATGCCTCCTTGATTTTCATGTCTTTTTTTAGCGCTATCTCAAATATTCTAGAGAATCTATCTTTTAATTTAAAGTTTCCAGCCCACTCATCTTCCCAGAAGCTTATTTTATCACCATTTCTGACACGCCATTTTGTGCATGCTGAAAATTCATCGCAACCCACTAGGATTTTCATCCACAGACTTCTGCTATGATTTCCTCTTACCAGTCTCACGTCAAACCCCTTAGTTCTATTACCCCACCTTGACTCAACCACCTTACTCCATAGACTATCTCCTTCCTTTCCCTCTCTCCACAACCACTTTCCTAACAAAGCTTTATTCATTTTCACCAATGATCTCAGCCCCAAACTACCTTTCTTGTACGGTTTTTTCACCTCTTCCCATCTAACTATGTGATACTTTCTTTTGTCCACCTCATCACCCCATAAAAATCTGCATTGAATTATTTCCAGCTTCTTTGCAATCTTGATTGGCATAGTGAAAACCACGTTAAGCACCACCATGAAAAGGGCTTTCTAGTTCTAAACTGGATTATCATCAACATTGGCAACTTTGGCAGCCCTATGCATGTCTACTTCATTTACGGTAGCAAAGTGCTCAGATTCTCAAGCCGGGTTGAAACGGGCCAGCCCATCCTCCTCTCCCTCATCATCAACCTTCACCATGTCATGGCTAGCAATCAAACCCAGTGCAGAAAAAGAAGTTCATCCTCATGAAACCTCACTTGTTCTACATCTTTATAGTCATAAGAATCTCAAAGGATCGAAGACCACTTTACCTATGGTGTGACACATCTCCCTATCTCTACTACGTTGATTGCTGCCACCCATTTAGCATTTACCGTTTGCTTTCCATCCTCTTAGTTGATGTCGTTACCCAAATCACCAAGCTAACGTACTATGATATTATTTGTAATCACTATTCCAATCTCACATTAAAAAAATATATTTTTAAATTTTATTAAGAGTTCGAGTCACACACTACCAAGAAGTAGAACTTGAACGTTTGATATAATTTAGGTTTGAAAATTATTGGATCAATAGTTCTTGAGTTAAGGTTTTATGATGATTATTGATGTATTTCTAGTTTGTTTTTTTTTCTTTTTCTTTAGATAGAATGTCTTTATCTTCGCTTGTCTCTTGTCTTGCTATGTTAGTATATGCATATATTGGATATTATTGATCCTTGAGTTGAGGTTTTACAATAACTATTGATGTATTTGTCTTTTTGTTTTTCCCCCCCTCTTTTAATAGAATGTCTTCATATTTGTTTGTCTCTTTGTCTTGCTATGTTGGCGTATGCATATATTGAACACTATCACATGCAAATAAGTGATATATTCATAATCTAAAATA